CGATCTTGGGTGTTGCCTTCAGAAGTTTTTTTGCAGAATAAAATAACCTTCACCATACCTCAATCTCATTCTCATAACCCAACCACCTTTCTTCGACGCTCTGAGAAGGCCATTGGCGTCTTGCCTACGACGCGCACTAAATGCGTTTCCTCGGCGTTTTTGTTAGTATGTCCACACCAATGGCGACATCATCGCTATCGAGTGATTTTTTTTCCTATTCGGTTTCCAGTCTTCCATCTGATGCTGTAGAGGAAATTTTAATACGATTGTTATTTACTTTGGAGTTGGGGCTTTTTCAAGCCATCAATATTTTACTTCCACAATGTACAGGGGCGGGGGAAGATCATTTGCCTATGTCCGGCACTTCGGCATTTTTCTTTCGCACCAAATTGCCGCTCCGTTGAAGTGGAATTCCTCAGAAGTATCCCTAAGTGTCCTCTACTATATAATAAGCGGCAGCCCTCCTTCAACTGCCCCCGGCTAGAGTATGACGTCATCTTCACCGTCCCTAAGCTCTTACTTATTTTCGTGAATCCATTCTAATGTTTCAGATAGATTTTCTAGGACGGCATTAGCTCTCCAATTTCCGACCATAACTTCGTATTAGCTACCACTATGCAAATCCCCTCGGAACTAGCTTTCCAGTAAGGGTCGTTATGGTACACGATCCTTCGAAGACCCCATTGAGCTCGACCAGTGCACCATGTTTCCAGGGCAAATTCTTCTGATGCCGTCCACGTAGGTGGCCACTATCTTATAGAATGGAATGCGCTCTTAATAATAAGTTGGAACCATTCGGTCTGAATTGAGCAAAGTGTGCTTAAATCCATCTGGAAGTGGAGACAAAATGTTTTTTTTTGGCCCCCCCCCCTGTATAATATGCTAAATAAAGAAGTCAGCAAACCAGTTAGGGTCTGAAAACACCACTAATCTCACCACTTATAGTCTAACCTAATTATAGTAGACACGAGTCTTCAAAATAGCCTTTCTTCGGCCCTTCTAGCGTTTTTGAATAAGCGGCAAAAATGTTCGGTGCATAACGTTCTGAATCTCTCACCAATTGCTTCAGTGATTGTTGCCTCTCACAACTGGTTCGGAATCATTGATGGCTGATTCACTTCTTCAATCAACAGTTCTTACAGTTCATTGTTCCTTAAAACTTACTCCTAATCGAATTGTTTATAGTCGAGGAAAATGCATTCCACCCTCGTTTTTCTGAAGGTCGTCCAAAAAGTTCCCACATTCCCCCATTGCTTCTGGTCATAGCGCGATATGAAACTTACACTCGATTCTCCCGCTTTGTCATGTTGTTGAAGCTTGCTTGATGATCAAATATCGTTTCTTCTCATCCATAAATGGTAAATGGAAATCTCATATATGAAAAGAAAGTATTTTCCTTAAGGAGTCGTCCACGAAAAAATCATGATTCTCTCTCACCCATAAATCATTGGCTTGAGACCTATCATTCTCGTTAAGAACGAAAGAACAAAAACTGCCGAAAAATCCGAAGGACTGTCACGCACTCAATTTCCCGCCGTACATCTGTCACAAATGTTGGTGACGAGAACGATTTTCCTTGGTTTTCGGAGTGCTTTCACTAGGAACTCTTTTTTGGCCTCTCCCCCATGGCAATAAGTTTCGCTTTTGTACTGCATCTCATTCTATCAATCGCTATGTTTCTGTTCTCCAAATTCGAATGCTTTAACCCAAGTATTTCAATGCGTCACCTAATAAGTGGACGCCTCAAGGCGCACTTCTTTCCATGCGTCCCCTTGTCCCCGCCCAACCTACCCGCGATCGTCCCAGTGTTACTCTTATTTCTCTTCGGAACTGAATATTCTTATGTGAAAGTTTGTAGGTTGTCTCTAGTGGTTACAACTGACATTTTCGTGTGAGAAAGACTGCTAGAATTTTTCCGTGAAGGTTGCTGACTCTTCAAACTAACGCTTCCTTTGCTGAACGGTTAGATGTCGGTCAGACTCTGCGATTGCATCGCGCGATGCAGTCGCTCTGCCTAGAGCGATTGGCATCGCTCCAAAGTGCGAGCGACGGGAGATTTACCCCGCCGACGACCGATACACACGGCGCCGCTCGGGTAAATCTCCCGTCGCTCGCACTTTGGAGCGATGCCAATCGCTCTAGGCAGAGCGACTGCATCGCGCGATGCAATCGCAGAGTCTGACCGACATCTTAGCGTGAAACGCCGAGAAATGGGCGTGCCGGGTCGACAGCGGCGCGGGGACGGCCACGCTATATCGCCGAGAGCATCCCCTCGCTGCGAATCGCATGTCGATCCGTACCCTTAAGGGATCCGCCTGTGTTTCCACTATCTAGACAGGTTTTCCTTCTCTAGTCTTCGACCTTATTGTGGAATCCTTTCAGGATTCCTACCTGCAGGCCAGCATTCGCTATGATAGGTCTTAAGGTGGATCCAGTCGTCAATCAGAAGTCCTGATCGCAATGAAACGCAATCCTTGAGGGACTTAGGCACCTCTATTGCCTCCACTTTCGTCTTCTCATTAATATGTAGTTGAGTGACACATTTCCCTGATTCTAGGCTATAGGATGCTTTCCAGTGGGTTCCGTGAAGTGGTCCAATTTGTATACTCTTAGACTCGGTTAGGTTAAAGGCATGCTCCAGGATCAAACTGGTGTGGCTCTTGCACACGAATACGAACGTATTGGTGGGAAATAGGATCCGTCGGAATCGCTTAGGTTAAGGGCTCACTTTTTCTAATCGGCTGTGCTAAGGGAATGAGAGACTAAGCGCGGAGAGGAGAGTATGAGGCGAGAGAGCGCAACAGATGAGAGGCGCCAGACAACAGCCTGATAAAGAAAAATTGCAGCTGCTGCAGCTTACTTTGCAAGGCCCTAGCGCTCTTGTCGGTTGATTTCCGTGCACGGGAATGCCACATTGTGATTGTCCCCTACAAGTCTTACAGACCAAAGAGAATCCTTCACACAACTTCTGCAAGGGTTGTGCCTTTAACAATCTCTCGCGATTCTTCTCTTCTTCTCAAACAATCTTTGCAGTATTACTTCAGATCGAATTCTTTTGCTAAAGCCGTCCCGAGTTCTGTAGCTCTCACATAGTGATCACAGAACTCGAGTAGGCTCTGCAATTACTTCTGACTCAAATTATCATTGATCACTGATATTTCTGAACAAATTCGTTCTTACTCGGCTCATTAGCCAGCACTGTATACCTCGAACGCCGACGCCCTCTGACGGGGTCCGCTAGAAGCTCTCCGACGCTAGAAGTAGCCCTCACTACTATATTGCGGGCATGGTGGGATGAAATTGAGTGAAAAAGATGTGTACCTTATCAAGCCTGCTTCATTCAAAAACCGCCTTCAGGAAAACCCGGGTCCATGGTGGCTGTCATCGTATATTTGTCCGCTTCCATGCCTACTCCCTTTCCCATTTTAAAATGAGCTTTCTACTACGGCTCAATGCTGTAACATCTGCCATTTTTGTGCTGGTATGCTGCCCATGTCTCTCTTTTCTGACCATCGCAGTTTAGAAATCCCAATAAGTTTTACTACAAATATTTTCTGTGATTGACAACGTATTTTCCAATAAATATGGCTAGCTTCAAAATGGATTTTTGGTCTCGAAGGTGTTCGTATGTGGATTGATGAGTCCGTAAAATTGGATAAATATTTGGGGGAAAATTGAACAATTCGGGAACGAAAAAGACCGAACAACAACATTCGCGACAATGCAGAGTCGTAACTGTCAGAGGGAAAAAAACCTGCTCAGTCCACATTCCAGCGTTTTTTCTGCTGTTCATACATTGATCTCGTATTAATTGGTCTATACCCCATCTAAGAAACTTCGTGAAAGGATGACTCTGAGCCATTTGAAAGTATCGCAATGATTGCAGATCATCAATGGTTCGGTATCAGCGTCGACTTTTAGCTGCAGTACTTAGAAATTTTTGAAAACGTTAACTTATAAGCTGGTCTGGCTTGTCTTCTCCAATGTCATTTTTGTCTGTAATCGAGGATCTGTTGAATAACAGAAATATCCTTTGACGTGGTTCTATCCCTTACAAGATGCGCCACGCATCTTACTCCCATCCGAAATCGTGATAGAGTTCTTTTTGAGAGTTCTAAGTGTCCCAAGGGAGAAGTGAACCACTTGACCAGAGCGAAATAAGTAAAGGCTTTTTAGTGCTTGGTATCGCTTCTTTTGATTGTCTAGTTTCCAAATCACGTAGTAAAGGACTCAGAAAATCCTTGCATTCTTCCCCAACATGAATTGTTGGCTGTGATCACAAGAGGATTCGGTTTTCGAAGAGAAATAAACCAGCGGAAACCGCACTCTGGGGACGGTCACGGGTAGGTCGGGCGGAGACAAGGGAACCCATCAGGTAGTGCGCGCTAGAGCGGCCACGTGTTAGGCGACGCATTGCGATAATCCTTTTAAAGCGTTCGAATTCGAAGAATAACGACAATGATTAATAGAATAAGATGCAGAAGAAAAGAGAAATGTTATTGCCATAGGTGGGAGAGGCCAAAATCCGAGAGCCAGGTGAAATCGTTCTTACCACCAACATTTGTGACAGATGTCCGGCGGGAGTTTGAACGCGTAGCGGTCCTTCCGGTTTTTCAAATTGTTTATCAAATGAAAACGCAATTTTTTGTTCTTTCTGTTCTTATTGTGAAGGATGGGTTTCAAAGTAGCGATTTGTGGCTTAGATAGAACCATAATTTTTCCGTTAACGATTTCTATTTTAGATGCCCGAAAGAATGAGCTTGCCTACCATTCAAGGTAATCGTTATGGGTGCACTATTACTTGAGTTCATTTCTTCCCTTTGATATGCGCTTCTGTGTAGCTTTCAAGCTTGCAGAGTTATGAAAAACTTCAACCAGTCACCCTTACTCCTCTCTGTTGTATGCCATAAGGTCCACTTCTGATCACGGAACTATACAACCGTATAAATCACCAATCTGTCATCCGTTTCTTCTTTAAATTAAAAGAAATTCAATTTCAGATGTTGATATTAATTGTCTGTATATACTTGTCACTCGCTGCTGCTTCCACAGATGACTCACGCCTAGATGAAGAAAGGTGAGACTCATTGTTGGCAGTTCATCTATCGATTATCACAGTTAAAATTCACTACTCTCAGTAATAAAAAATCGGTGGGGTGGTATGCTTGCGCTGCATAATCAGGATATCTTGTTGGCGGTTGTGGTCTATAACAAACGCCGCGGCCTTTCGGGATCATATTGGTAATGGGATGCACATCCTTTTTGTCAAGCCCCGCCCAAGTAGGTCTGACAACTCGTCCAGATTACCCAGCTTCCAGATTGTCGTGAGTGATCGGTCAACAGTGGAGACACAACGTTAAAATGTTTCCATACGAACACTTCTCAGAAGCAAACCAGCACATCCAGAGCTTGAATGAGTTTGAGTGTGGTATAGAGCGACGAATAATGGAAAAAGTAGGCGTTGAAAGACCGCCAAGAGGCTCGCCCGCACTTCAGCGTTTATACTGACACGTTCCAGCGTAGACCAATCAAAGATCTAGGAGTTAGATGATCCGGACGATCTGATGCGGATGATTCATTCCAACCCCGTCTCATTTCAAAACATGAGCGAAGCGGAGGTGTGACAGTTCAATGTGGGTGTAGTTGGCAAGGAGAGGAAGCGACCTTTCCGCTTTCCGCACGCTAAAATTTTTTTTACTACGGGATCCTCAGTTCCATCACTGGTCAGGGCTGTGGTTCCCGCAGCAAAAAATCTTCCGCAAATTCTGAAAAATTCGCTTTCTGTCCTAGCGAACCACACCCCTCCAATGGAAATATGACCGCCCAACTGGCTATACTACTGACAGTGATAAAGAAGATTATAAGTTCAGGAACATAGGCGGTATACCGTAACCTTTCGACGTAGGGGCGTTGGCACTGGGGCGCGCAATGTCACGTGTCATCGATTTTCCATGCGTGCTCGCCTCCCACTTCTCGTTTTCTCTGCGTTCTCTCAACGAGGAGAGAATGCGTCGAGCAAACTCGCCAACTATACTAAGCGCCGTTAATGTAGAAGGTGGAGGATGGCACGCATGTCGGATTGGCCTCACGTAGGATGGCGGCACGTGGGGATTACCTCCCTTGCCTGCGCGCGCAGCGCTGCGACGCTTCTCTTTGGATTGCTTGCCCTGGAGAGTGGGGTAGCCTCATTGAGTTGCTGTCGCTCGCATCCTAGCACTAGCGGTGCGCGCTGGAGACTTGCAACTAACTGTGCTCCGGCGCTAACGCGAGTTACCATCCTGTCCTAATGAACTTATTATCTTGTCAGTGATAACGGCGGACCAGCCGTGATAATAATTGGATGTTTACAGGCCCTTCAAAGTGTTTCGTGTTGTTCCCACCACCGCTGCCCAGTTGAAGAGGATGATTGCTCTATTTGAGACAGCAAAAAGTGACGTGAGCTTGTGATCACCTAACGATCTTGGCACGTAAGGAATTTTGACAAAAATAAACAATCTGATTCAGGAAGCCGATTTCTGGCATGCGCCCAGCGTTGTGAACAGCACTATAGACGTGATGGTATCGCCGTCTTTCACGGACAAATTCGCCACCTTCCTCAAGACACACAACTATCCTTTTCATGTCGCCATCGAGGATCTCAAGAAGAAAGTTTTCGTTTAACCATTTTTGAGACTATTTCCGAGATTTTCGGGCAGCTAATTCTTATCCTCATATGCAATCATTTAAAAGATCACAATTGTTGAAATAAGTAGGGTGACTGACGTTGGAATTATTCTGTTTAATTTAGGCTACTTATTGAAAAAGAGGGTACCATTAAAATGAATCCTGAAGGCGTCAGCGATGACGACTTCATTCGTATGCACGACGACACGGGCGCATTTGTTAGCAAACTGAGGTGAGTCTCGATCCAATCGAAGCAAATACTCACGACTAAATGTCCAACACGTTGACCGCAGCGCGAGGCGCACGCGTCGCACCCACATCGTCCATATTTTTTTCACGCATGCACTGCTTCTTTTCTATTTTTTGCATTCATTCTAGATATTAAATTAACCGCATCGATTCACATCAAAATATGACTGTACCGGCGAGGTTCAAATTTCTCTGGGTATACGACAGGAGGCTTGTCGCGCGGCGAGAAGGCAGAGACGCAGACATCAGCGGACGAGTCGCAGCGCGGACGGTACTGATTTCACGTCGAGCTAAATAGGTAGTGCTGCAGCATCCTCTATTTCAAAAAGCGAGAAGTGTCGGGTGCAGACCAACACCACAAGTGACGACGGCCTCCAAGTAAATCTGGTTAGTAGTGGTTCATAGTGATAGCTGATTGGTAAATGATAGTTGTAATTAGTGACAACTGATAGAATACAACTGCAACAGGCTAATCATTTCATTGGCAGAAAACATTTACATTTTGTGGAGGCCGTCGTCACTTGTGTGTATGGTCTGCACTCGACGAGCACCTGGTTTCCAGGAACAGACGTCACTACAGTACGTTCCACATTACAAAACACGCGCTACGACTCGTCCAACCAGCCGTCTGCGTCTCTGCCTTCTCGCCACACGAAGGACCTGCTGTCGCGTACCCTGCAAAACCGCTCCGGTCCCACGCGGCGAGAAAACCCAAAACGCGGGTGTCGTTGACCTGTCAAATCATCGTTCTGGCGAAAGTGACGAAGAAAGCAATTGCAGAATGGGCGAATATTATTCCTATTCGACGATCGTCGCATGGATGAAGCGAATAGCTGATCGAATGCCATCGATTGCAAGGGTGGTCGATATCGGTACCAGTACAGAAGGAAGAAACATTCTGGGGTTGCAGGTGAGTACAACGCCTCAGGTATAATTTTCAATATGTCAAACGTGTTAAAGCGATGAGTTCCGATGAAACGAGAAGAATGAGGACATTGCGCTCGTTTTGTAAACATTTCGTGTGTTAACATTTCGAAATATCGGAGAACTGTTACGCGTTCAATTCCCGTCGTAATCTGTCACAACTGTTGACGAGGAGCGGGACGATTCACTTGGTTCTCCGGAGTGCCTTCACTAGGAAACTTTCTTTGGGCCGTTTCCACCTTTGCCTTTTGCCATATGGCAATAATTTCTCCTTTTCTCCTGCACCCTTCCTATCGATCGTTTTGTCCTTTTCTCAAAATTAGAATGCTTCACCCCGATTCTTCCATTGCGTCGCTTTACGCGGCTGCCCCGAATCGCACTTTTTTCCATGGATCCCTTGCCTCCGCCCTCCCTACCCTCGACCGTCCATGTGTAGTACTTTTCGTAAGTTCATTTCTCTTTGTAAACTGAATCATATTACGTGAAACTTTGTACTTTTTCTCTAGTGATCACAGCTGACGCATTCATATAAAAAAGAATGTATGAGTTTCTCGTGCACGATTCCTTTAAAATATAATGTCTTTAGCCCGATATTTCTTGCAGCAGTTCGAAACGGCTGTCTTCTCGCAGCAGCAAAAATATATCCAGCCCATATCTGCAGTGATACAGCTGCTTCTGCAGAGCAATTCGCTAAAACTTCATAAAGGGTAATCCAAGCAAGTCAACTGAGATTTGACCATTTCTAGTTCGGTCAGGATAGTCCTCACAAGAAAGTGGTGGTAATTGATGCTGGTATCCATGCTCGTGAATGGGCTGCTGTCCATACCGGAATGTATTTTATTAATCTCGTAAGTTCTACTCTCACCCCCCGAAAAAAAAACTGCAATTACAATCACATTGAGTTCCAGATTGTTAACAACCGTGAAAACGACCCAAAAATCCGTAGCTATCTGGAAAATATCATCATTTACATCTTTCCTGTGCTCAATCCCGACGGCTACGAGTACACACGGACGGATAAAACCAATCCAAGGGTGGGTGTTTACTCAAAGATAGCCATTTTCATCATCGCTTATCAGTTATATCGGATGAAATAAGGCGATCCTATTATCAGTTTTAATAGTCATTGTCTGATGATTTGAGTGTTTCCAAAGCAAATTTATGATGATATTTATTCAGAAAAATCAATAAATACTCAATCAAGTGAACAGTGGTTACACTTACTCGTATCTCTAGGAGCAGTTCATAGAAACCATATACTTTCAGGCACGTATGTGGCGCAAATCCAGATCAGCCAAAGCGTGCGCCTTCGACGGCATCTCCAATGCCTGTTGTCAGGGAGTCGACCTGAACAGGAATTTTGATTTTCGTTTCGCAGGTGAATCCTTTGACCGCATTTATGGTCGCATTTCTCCAGCACAATGAAAACAAATTGCGCCAAACTGCTTCACACCTGCGTCTCACATTCCTTCCCCGTCTCATCGAGTGAGCCACCACGTTTGACTTACGTGGTCATAAGTAAAACAAGGTCAAAGAAAACACCTAGGGAAGCGGCTCCAAGCCCGCGTAGGAACCCATTTTTTGCCCATTCATTTCCGCGCTCGACGAGATTCTGCGGAAGGCGACATCATCAGTGTGAATGTTTGCGCTGTCTTCTGAATGCCTATCTCGCCACGAAACGGCAACCCCCACCAGCAACTCTGCTTTTTGGAAGAGCGATCTATCTGGCACTTTGTTATCACCACGG